TACCCACTGCCACTACCCACTACTCTCTATTCATCACTACTCACTACTCACTACGCACTACGTACTACTCACTACTCACTACTCACTACACACTACTCACTACGCACTACGCACTACGCACTACCCACTACTCACTACTCACTAATCACTACTCGCCAGCCACGACTCACTACCCACTACTCACTACCCACTACTCATTACTCCCTACTCCCATTTTAGTACTCACTACTCGCTACTCGCTACTCAGTACTCGCCACTCACTACTCTTATTAGTACACACTCCCCCCCTCCTTCAGGGAGGGAGGGGGGGGGTCGGACCTTTCCCCCCTTTTGAGGCGGGAAGGGGAGGGGGTCCGACCCCCCCCCCTCTTTGGTGTCTCCAGGGAGATCCACCGGCGCACTTGCAAACTTGACGACAGCAAATGCAAACTTTATTTAACAAACAGCACGCAAACCATTAAACATGAGCGCGCACTCCAAGATATCAATGCACAATTCGACAATGTATAAGCAACGCACACTTGAATATACTTGTGTACACCTTGGGACGCTTCACAACCTGTTAGAATAATTATCATGTGACGTACCCAGCCCTTTCTATACATGTGGCGATTATACTCAGGACCACCAATGCTGACTGGCATTCTGAAGGACCCGCCGTGCGCAAGAAGAGCACCCAGCAGTGATTTCAGAAGAGCGCAGCAAGAAGAGGAACGGCAAATATACAAAAGGGAAACACAGGGGCGTTGACAGAAACGCGCCCGAAAAGCGAACACACAAGGGCGCGGCGGCGATGTCCCGAGGTGGTCCGCGTGGGACCCACCTCCGCTGGGCCTCCCATGAACCCACGAAAGGGGCGACAATTGTGCAGATCGCAAGCCCCCCGAGGGGGCGGCGAAGTCCCGAGGTGGTCCGCTTGGGACCCACCTCCGGCAGGCCTCCCAAGAGCCCACAAAAATGCCGACAATTTCGAAGATCGCAAGCCCCCAGGGGGCGGCGATGCTCCGAGGTGGTCCGCATGGGACCCACCTCCGCTGGACCTCCCAGGAGCCCACAAAAGTGCCAACAGCTTCGCAGATCGCAAATCCCCCAGGGGGCGGCGAGGTCCCCTAGGCTTCCCGGGAGCCCACGAAAATGCAGACAATTGCGCAGATCGCAGACCCCCCCAGGGCACCGCGAGCTATAGTGGTGGTCCGCGTGGGACGTACTTCCGCTTCGCCTCCCAGGAGCCCACCAAAACTGCCGACAAAATCGCAGATCGCAGACCCCCAGGGCACCGCGAGCTATAGTGGTGGTCCGCGTGGGACGTACCTCCGCTGGGCCTCCCAGGAGCCCACAAAAGTGCCGACAGTTGCAAAAATCGCAAGCCCCCCAGAGGGCGGCGATGTCCCGAGGTGGTCCGCGTGGGGCCCACCTCCGCTGGCCCTCCCAGGAGCCCACGAAAGTGGCGACAGTTGCGCAGGTCGCAAGCCCCCCAGGGAGCCAACAAAAGTGGCGACAATTGCGAAAATCGTAAGCCCCCCAGGGGGCGGCGAGTTCCCGAGGTGGTCCACGTGGGGCCCACCTCCGCTGGGCCTCCGAAGAGCTAACGAAAATGGCGACAGTTTCGAAGATCGCAGCCCCCCAAGGCACCGCGAGCTATAGTGGTGATCCGCGTGGGACGTACCTCCGCTGGGCCTCCCAGCAGCCCACGAAAGTGGCGCCAATTGCGCAGATCGCAAGCCCCCCAAGGGAGCGGCGAGCTATAGTGATGATCCCCGTGGGACGTACCTCCGCTGGGCCTCCCATAAGCCCACGAAAGAGCCGACAGTTTCGCAGATCGCAAGCCCCCAGGGGGCGGCGAGGTGGTCCGCGTGGGGTCCACCTCCACTGGGCCTCATGGGAGCCCACGAAAATGCCGACAATTGCGCAAATCGCAGCCCCCCAGGGCACCGCGAGCTATAGTGGTGGTCCGCGTGGGACCCACCTCCGCTGGGCCTCCTGGGAGCCCACAAAAGTGGCGACAATTTTGCAGATCGCAGCCGCCCCAGGGCAACGCAAGCTACAGTGGTGGTCCGCGTGGGACGTTAAACCTCCACTGGGCCTCCCAGGAGCCAACGAAAATGCCGACAATTGCGCAGATCGCAGCCCCCCAGGGCACCGCGAGCTATTATGGTGGTCCGCGTGGGACGTACCTTCGCTGGGCCTCCCAGGAGCCCACGAAAGGGGCGACAGTTTCGCAGATCGCAGCCCCCCAGGGGACCGCGAGCTATAGTGGTGGTCCGCATGGGACCCACCTCCGCTGGACCTCCCAGGAGCCCACGAAAGTGGCGACAGTTGCGCAGATCTCAGCCCGACGGCACGAGAGAAGAGGAGAGGGGAACACAGGGAACAGGAGAGAAAGAGGAGAGGAGGAAAGGGGAGGCGGGAGAAGGAGGGTGGAGACCACACTGCTCTATTCAAAACGAGAACCCAACACAGGAGCGTTGGGAAAAATCATGCACACTTGAAACACACTGTAGAACAGCAATACGCAAACTTTAGAACACGCATCTGCAATCTAGGCAACCAGTTCACAATTTCAAATAAAAGAGCAAATCAGACGATATTAACGCATATTAAAAACAATAACCCACAACTTGAACAACACGACGCATACACAGACAACTATCGACAATAGTTTAGAGCATATATATATATATATATGTATACCATTTCCATATTTTTGTGTTTAAAGCAACACTAGTTGTATGACACCATGCACACTGTAAAACACGAATGCGGCTTTGCTGGTCCTATCTGCCTCGCCGCAACATTTGCTTCTCACATCTCTTCCGGGTGCAGAAAGCGCACGGCTGCCCGGCAATGGCCTCCACCTCCCCCTCCACCTTCCCCCCATCCTCAACTAGAACCGCGCGCGCGCTTCGCGCGCGCTTGGGTTCTAGCGCATGCCATGGCGTTGTTAGAGGTGCGTGCTTTTCGGACCAGCTCATTCCATGCCTTGCCTCACCTCGTCCTCCAATATTCCTTATACGTCCTTCCTCGTTAACCCTCCAGTCTCTCTCGGTTGTCCTCGCTTGTCGTTTCTCGTTCTTATCGACGGCCTCCTCTTGCTGGGGATTATGCGGGGCTTCGAGCTGTTCAGGGCCAGCGTGGGGAGACATTGAATATGAAGCGGGCAAGCTTGAAGTGTACGGGTCTCTTGTGGATCTTCCTGCTTGGGCTGCCTTGAAAGCCTTGGGGCCCGCTTGGTGCCCTCTTGGGCTCTTCTTCGAAGTTGCCGGGCCGTCTCGAGCCTCGGCGCCATGTGAAGATCTCCCGAAGCCATCTAGACGAGCGTGAGATTTACTGAATATGGAGAAACCTTCATGGCTTTTGCGTTTATGGCTCTCTGGGGTCATTTGGGAGGGCCATTGGGAGCTCCACTGGCACATCTTGTGGCCCCTGGGGGCCGCCTTGAAACATCTTGGAGCGTCTTGGGCCACTGAGGGGCCATCTTGGCGGCCAGCGGGCGTTCTCCTGAACCAGCTCGGAACCCTCTTCAGGCCGAAAGAGTCACCCAAAGACCCCTAAACGGATCCCGGAACCGAGGGGGGGCCAATTGGGTTGCGACGGGGGGGTTGGGAAAAGTGGGCCACCCCAGGGCCACCCCAGGTCCCCTCACCCATGGGCGGTCCCGTCGTCTTCGTCCGTCGTCCGACGTCCGTCGTCCGTCCGCCCGCCATGTTGTTTCTCTATGAAAGCTCTGCCGCGGGGATCTTCTCCCGCATGCTCTCTCAACAGAAGGTGCCAGGGATGCAGCGGCCAGCGCTGTACATGAGCTGCTGCCTTGGGCTGCAGCTCACTGGACACTGCTGCGTGAAAGGCACTGCTACCCTTGGCTGCAGTGCCACGCAACTAAATACCCCAGCATCATTTATCCCACACGGCACTTGAACGAGAGATGGACGTTCTTGGTTCGCGCATGAATTCTCTGTCCTGAGTCCTGAATGAATGAACATCTAACTCTCCTGAATATGAATGAACATCTAACCCAAACCCAAAATTCCCGGTGACTCCTCGAAACCGTCTTGGAGGCGATCCGGGGCTCTCTGGAGCAGCCTTGACGGTGGTTTGGGGCCGATCATGGGAATACGCCTGGATTGTGGGCCAGAGGCCTCATGGACGTAACTCATCTCTCTTTGGAAGTCTCTCGGAGCACAATTTTGGGCCTCTTGCGGGGGGCTTCGGGGTCTCTTGGAGGCTAGTTTGGGCACTGTTTTGGGTGTCCTGGGGGCCTCCTGGCCCATGGGGGGCCTTCTCGGCGGCTTCGTGGACCGTCTTGAAGGCCCTTGTGGCCGTCTAGGAGCAGCCTTGTGTTGTCTTCGAGCGCTCGCGGGCTGTCTGGAAGCCATCTCAGTGCGCTCTTCAGCCATCTTCCAGACAACCTGGGCCGCTTTGGGAGCCTCTCGGGCCAGCTTGCGGGCCTCTGGGGGGGTCCAAGGCCCCCTTGCGGGACGTCTTGGGGCGATCTTGAGGGCCTCGTGGGCCGTGTTGGAGGCCTCTTGTGATGTCCTGGGGCGATCTTGGGGTTCTCTGGAAATAGGAAATATACTGAAAATAAACGCTTCCCTGGAGAATTGGGGCGATGTTTGTATTTTGCGGCCCTCATAGGTGTCGTGTCCTTTTGGAGCCCTCTTGGGGGGTTGGGGGGGCCTCTCGGGCCGTCTAGCAGCCATCTTGGCTGTCTTGGCGCGCTCTTGGACCGTCTCGGAGGTCTCCTGGACCGTCTGGGGAGCGCCCTCGGGCCCACCGAAAGGGGGGGGGTGCCCCTCGAGCCCCAGAAGGCCTCTCCAGGCGGCCCCAGAATGCCTCTCCAGGGAGGTCCGGAGGTTTGTTCGGCAGAAGTCCGGAGGTTTGTTCGGTTCCTCTTCGGGGGTTTGTTCGGTTCCTCTTCGGGGGTTTGTTCGGTTCCTGTCCGGGGGGTGTTCGGTGGAAAATCGGAAGTTGGTTCTGGCGTTCGTGAGTTTGCTGTAGTTTCGATGGATGATAGAGGGGGGAACATAAGCAGCTGTGAGCGTGAATAGAAATGGCTGCAACGGCACGCGGTACCATCAAATAATGATTGCCAGCATCGCAAAAAACCCGTCGGAGTCTCAACCGTCAATCTCGCACGCGTCGTCCTCCTTTGTCGGGAAGCCGTCGCCACAAGAGCCGCACGTGCCGTCGATTCCGTCCCAACAGTAGTGGCAGTCGTCGCAGCTGGCGCAATGCCCCGCGTAGCAGAACTCGTCGTCACACTCGTCGTGGCTCGCGCATTTGGCTCCGGGCTGGGTCGCGGCAACAAACTCCTCCTCGTCCAAGCCACCGTCGCTATTCACGTCTGCGGATTCGAAATCCTCTTTGACGTAGGACTGTTGCTCATCCCACATCTCTTGGGTGACCCCTGGCAGCGCCAGTAGAAAATCCTGGAGCTCCTGGAAGGTCATGAGCCCATCGCCGTCGCCATCAATGTCAGCAAACGGAGGAGCCATCCCTCCATCTCCCCCTCCTGCTGCCGCTTCTTCCCCTGCAACGTCATCTTGAATGCTGTGACCATCGCCTGCCTCCTGCAAGCTCACCATCTTCGGGAAGCCAGGGTCCATGTGCAGCGCGAAGACCTTGTTCAAACGAGTGGACCGCCGCGTCTGTGCACGAAGTACGTTGTCTCGATGAGGAACCATCGCAAACGTTGGACGACGAGCGGTAGCGCCCACCACCGCCGCGAGCAGCAAGACGCCTCCGACCACCGTCGCCAGGACGCGCCAAGCTGGACTCGTCCTCTTCGAACTCACCTCGGGCGCGGCACCATCCGCGCCGAGACGGTCCTGAATCTCTTCGTCCGTCTCGCATGAGGGCTTCGCGTACTCGACGGCCGCCATCAGACGAAGCACCGGCTTTTAGGAAGCAAAGGTGGCCACGACGAAAACGCTCTCTGGCACAGGCCTTGAGCCCAGATGGCTGCGGACTCTATCTCTCTGCTGCATTGTTCGCGCTGGATCCAGCCGCGATGGCCCCGGGGGCCAGAAAACATACGAAAAGGCCCAGTGTGGAGCAACATCCATGGTCTGATGGTCACGACGCGCGAGGGTCTGGGTCCCCGGGCCCCCGACGTCATGATTTGCTCGATGCTTCCGAAATGTCTTGGCCTATTCAGTTGGACTGGCGTTGTTTGACCGCCCCGGGGCCCCGCGAGGGCCCTCGGAGGCCACTCGTTGCTAGAATCATCCCGGTATCATCGTCGTCGTCGTCGTCGTCGTCCCTCTCGCCGACGTCGTCGCCGTCCCCCTCGCCGCCGCCGCAGGCGCAGCCGCTGGAAGGCTTCCAGAGGCCGCATGGAACCAATAAAACCGCCCGAAAGCCTCAAACCTCGTAGTCTCGAAGCACCTCGAACCTCCCGTCGTGAGATGTTCATGACGCGAGCATATCGGACGCCAGGAGGTGGGCCCCGATTTGGGCTCGGAAGTAGCCATAGTCCCTTGCAGCCCCTGTGACAAAGCCTTTCGACCACGACGCAGCGTTGGACAGGGAGGAAGAACAGGCGGAGGCGGAGGCGGATGAAGCCGTGGAGGCGAAGGAGGAGTTTGACGGGGACTGGGCGACTCTGCTGGGCCTCGTTCAACCGATCCCCATCCCCACTGGAGTGGCCTGGGCCCGACTGGCCGATTTCCCCCTAGATGGGGATACAGGATACAGGCTGTTCCCTTCGAATTTCCATGGGCATATCCCCAACTGGAGTTGTGGGCTAACGGGGATCCGATTGGGGATCGGTTAAACGATACTGAGATTGGGAATACCAAACAAATCTACCGATACCGCTACACCCCGGACCTCTCCCAGGGTGCGTTCTGACCAGAACTCCAATGCGCATCCAGCGGTGGCGACGAGGCCCTCCCAGGATGCCCCAAAACCGAAATCGAGGCAAGGGTAGCGGCATCGGTACCTGTCCCTCCTCTGGGCGGATCCCAAGCCCAGCGCTGGGGGATACGCCCCACGAGGCCGCGGCTGCAGCCGCCGTCGGGGCCCCCCACCGCCGCCGCGGTAGTCGTCGGCGTCGTCGTTGTCGTCGTCGTCGTCGTCGTCGTCCTCGTCCTCGTCCTCGTCCTCGTCCTCGGCGTCGGCGTCGGCGTCGGCGGCGTCGTCGTCGTCGTCGCGGCCGCCGCTGCAGCGGCCGTCGGGGGCGGCCCCCGCGGGCCTGCACGCTCGGCGGCGGAGTGGCATGCGGGGCCCCGCCGGTCGAGGCCCGGTGGCTGCTGCCCGTGACCTGCGGCGCGGGGCGCGAGCGTCGTTCGACCGGCCCCCATCCCCAGCGGCGTGGCCTGGGCCCCTCTGGCCGATTTACCCCCTCTGGATGGGGATGTATAGGCGGGCCCCTTCGGGTTTCGAGGGTGCATCCCCAAGTGGGGGGGTAATCTGGCGGGGGCCTCGAAGGGGATGGGGATGGGGATGGGGATTGGTCAGACGATACTGAGGACGTGCAGCGAGCTTGCCCTGAGGAGGAGGAGGAGGCTGCAGGGCCTGCGCAGGAGAAGGGACGAGGAGGAAAGCCATTGGGACAACTGGGTAGAACGACGCAGGAAGTCGAGTGACTCCGAGTCAATGGTGCCGCTCAGCTATACCTGCCGAAGGCAGTCCGCTCGTGTGCGGATATTCGCCTCGAGCGAACCGATCGAAATTCTGCGTCCCCTTGGCAGGGGGAGGGGGAAAGCAGGGGCGGGAGGAGGGGAGGAGCGGATGGCTGCGTTCGACTCGTACTCCAGAGCCGACAACGACAGCGACAGGAGGAGGACGCCCCACGCATGCTCTTGCTGTGAAGAAATCGCGACGGCAAACTTCTGGCCGCTATCGGTATCCAAGCTTCGGGGCCGTCAACAAACGGGTCGGGATGAAAAACCGACCCCGGGGAAAGGGTCGGGACTTCCAGGGACCCCGCATGGCAAAAATCACGACGTCACATGTCTGGAGCCACTCCACACTCGAAATTCGAAATTTCGGCGTTTCCGTCGGTTCCCCGCGGTATTCCAGCCTCGGGCTGCGTTCCAACCGCTGCGCCTCGCCGAAGGCGTTCCAAAGGGCGCCCAGATCGTCCCGATGGGCAGTTTGAGGCCCGAGTTTAGTTTCGAAAACTGGAGCCCGAGTGATGTGCAACGCGAAGGCACGATCACCCCTGCTTCGGATCCGCTGTACTTTTGGCGATTTCGTGGATGGGGCGGAAATGTCCGCCCAAGTGTTCGTGTTCCTGCGATGTGGGCTTCTGCCTTGCACCCTTGCGGCAATGTCCGCCCCATACCTCTGAGGCGCAATGTTCAGTCCTTCTGGTTCGCATCTTTCAGGATGCACGTCCGCCACACGCGTAAATCGGAAAATCCACCGAAATACGCACACATCCTCTGAAAATAAGCAGAATTCGACCGGCGCTTTTTGGCGCCACGCCCGGCCCCCTGGGGCACCCGCGGTGCCCAGGACCTTCCAATAGCCGGCTCGGGCTGCACCGCCGGTCCCAGAGAAGGGGTCCAGACATCCTCCAGGGAGACGCACGACGTCGGTCGAAGGTCTGGGCCCTTGTCGACCCCTGAGATCTACCTCGCTTCCGCTTGTTCACCAATGGGCGGTTTCGAACTGTCTCGGGCCTCGTGGCCATCGCGGATCGATCCGGCGCGAAAATGCCGCACATGAGGTGTTCTGAACATCGAGCGCGGTTGCTTCGCGTTTTTTGGTTCGCAGCGTCGGGTCTTAAGGTTGATCCTCAGAACGTGTCTTAGCACATAAGATGGACGTAGAAGGGCACCAGGCCCCCCACCCTCGAAAAGGGGGTACGTCCCCGCCCCCCTCTCCCCATTTTGTGTGCCCGACGCTGTCCAATCCGCCGACCCCAGAGGCGTGTGAGGGAGAGTGTGTGCTAGAGCCATTCATCGTGAGGTTCTCCTTTCAAGCAGCCACCGACCGATACCCCCCTCCTGGCTCTCTCCCTTGGAACCTTTGTTCTTGGGCCCCCCCTTCCCCCACCACACCACTTCTCGCCCAAAACCGACCGATACCCCCAACCACACTCCCCACCACGCCCCCGACCCCCGAACCCACGATGTCTCGCCCAAACACGACCCACGCCCCCCCCCTCCCCCCACCCGGCCCCCACCTGGCCCCGACACCCTCAAGCCTCTGGGCTCTGTTCTTGGAACCCCCGACCCCACGATTTCTCGCCCAAAAACGACCAACGTCCCCCCCCCCCTCCACCTGGCCCCGACACCCCCAAGGCTCTGGGCTCTGTTCTTGGGACTCCCCCACCCCACGATTTCTCGCCCAAAAACGACCAACGCCCCCCACCTGGCCCCCACCTGGCCCCGACACCCCCAAGCCTCTGGGCTCTGTTCTTGGGGTCCCCGACCCCACGATTTCTCGCCCAACAACGACCAAGGCCCCGCACCTGGCCCAACCTGGCCCCGACACTCCCAAGCCTCTGGGCTCTGTTCTTCGGAACCCCGACCCCACGAGTTCTCGCTCAAAAACGACCAACGCCACCCCCCCCAACCTCACCTGGCCCCCACCTGGCCCCGACACTCCCAGGCCTCTGAGCTCTGTTCTTGGGACCCTTGACGCCACGATTTCTCGCCCAATAACGACCAACGCCCCCCACCTGGCCCCCACCTGGCCCCGACACCCCCAAGCCTCTGGGCTCTGTTCTTGGGACCCCTGACCCCACGATTTCTCGCCCAAAAACGACCAACGCCCCCCTCCTCCCCAGGCCTCTGGGCTCTGTTCTTGGGACCCCCAACCCCACGACTTCTCGCTCAAAAACGACCCCCCACCTGCCCCCCACCTGGCCCACACCTGGCCACCACCCCCCCACGACATCCCCAGGCCTCTGGGCTGTGTTCTTGGGACCCCCGGGCCACGATTTGTCGCCCAAAACGACCCATACCCCCCACCTGGCCCACCACCTGGCCACCACCTCCCCACGACATCCCCAGGCCTCTGGGCTCTGTTCTTGGGACCCCCGACCCTACGATTTCTCGCCCAAAAACGACCCATACCCCCACCTGGCCCCCACCTGGCCACCACCCCCCCACGACATCCCCAGGCCTCTGGGCTCTGTTCTTGGGACCCCGACCCTACGATTTCTCGCCCAAAAACGACCCATCCCCCCACCTGGCCCACACCTGCCACCACCCCCCCACGACATCCCCAGGCCTCTGGGCTCTGTTCTTGGGACCCCGACCCTACGATTTGTCGCCACAAATCAACCCATACCCCCCACCTCGCCCCCACCTGGCCACCACCCCCCCACGACATCCCCAGGCCTCTGGGCTCTGTTCTTGGGACCCCGGACCCTACGATTTGTCGCCCCAAAACAACCCATACCCCCCACCTGGCCCACACCTGGCCACCACCCCCCCACGACATCCCCAGGCCTCTGGGCTGTGTTCTTGGGACCCCCGACCTTACGATTTCTCGCCCAAAAACGACCCATACCCCCCACCTGGCCCCCACCTGGCCACCACCCCCCCACGACATCCCCAGTTCTCTGGGCTCTGTTCTTGGGACCCCCGACCCTACGATTTCTCGCCCAAGAACGACCCATACCTCCCACCTGGCCCCCACCCGGCCACCACCGCTCCCCACGACATCCCCAGGCCTCTGGGCTGTGTTCTGGGACCCCCGACCCAACGATTTGTCGCCCCAAAACAACCCATACCCCCCACCTGGCCCCCACCTGGCCACCACCCCCCCACGACATCCCCAGGCCTCTGGGCTGTGTTCTTGGGACCCCGACCTTACGATTTCTCGCCCAAAAACTCCCACACCCCCCACCTCTTCACCTGGCCACCACCCCCCCACGACATCCCCAGGCCTCTGGGTATTCTTGGACCACCCTGACTCGACGATTTCTCGCCCGAAAACGACCCATACCCCCAACCTGGCCCCCCTGGCCACCACCCCCCACGACATCCCCAGGGCCTCTGGGCTCTGTTCTTCGGACCCCGGACTCTACGATTGTCGCCCCAAAAAAACCCATAAACGCCACCTGGCCCTCACCTGCCCCCCCCCCACCCCCCACCCCCCCCCCCCCCCCCCACGACATCCCAGGCTCTGGGCGGTGTTCTTGGGACCCCCGACCTTACGATTTCTCGCCCAAAAACAACCCATACCGCCCACCTGGCCCCCACCTGGCCACCCCCCCCCCCCACGACATCCCCAAGCCTCTGGGCTCTGTTCTTGGGACCCCCGACCCTACGATTTCTCGCCCAAAAACTACCCATACCCCCCACCTGGCCCCCACCTGGCCACCACCCCCCCACGACATCCTCAGGCCTCTGGGCTCTCTTTTTCAGACTTCGGACCTTACGATTTGTCGCCCCCAAACAACACATACCCCCCACCTGGCCCCCACACGGCCACCACCCCCCCACGACATCCCCAGGCCTCTGGGCTGTGTTCTTGGGACCCCCGACCTTACGATTTCTCGCCCAAAAACGACCCATACCCCCCACCTGGCCCCCACCTGGCCACCACCCCCCCACGAAATCCTCAGGCCTCTGGGCTCTGTTCTTGGGACTCCCGCCCCTACGATTTCTCGCCCAAAAACAACCCATACCCCCCACCTGGCCCCCACCTGGCCACCACCACCCCACGACATCCCAGGCCTCTGGGCTCTCTTTTTGGACCGGACCCTACGATTTGTCGCCCCAAACCAACCCATACCCCCCACCTGGCCCCCACCTGGCCACCACCCCCCCACGACATCCCTCGGCCTCTGGGTTGTGTTCTTGGCACCCCCGACCTTGCGATTTCTCGCCCAAAAACAACCCATACCCCCCACCTGGCCACCACCTGGCCACCACCCCCCCACGACATCCCCAGGCCTCTGGGCTCTGTTCTTGGGACCCCCGCTCTTCCGATTTCTCGCCCAAAAACAACCCATACCCCCCACCTGGCCCCCACCTGGCCACCACCCCCCCACGACATCCCCAGGCCTCTGGGCTCTGTTCTTGGGACCCCGGACCCTACGATTTGTCGCCCCACAACTACCCATACCGCCCACCTGGCCCCCACCTGGCCACCACCACCCCACGACATCCCCAGGCCTCTGGGCTGTGTTCTTGGGACCCCGGACCCTACGATTTGTCGCCCCAAAAACAACCCATACCGCCCACCTGGCCCTCACCTGGCCACCACCCCCCCACGACATCCCCAGGCCTCTGGGTTCTGTTCTTGGGACCCCC